TTCTTTTTGTTTTTTCTAGTTAAAATCTTATGTGAGCTTTGTAATCACAAAATGTTGGCTATAAGTCAAGTTTAACAAGTTTAAATGTATAAAAAGCAGGCTTTTAGCATAATAAACTAGAGCTCTCTACATCATCCTAGTGTGCAGACTCTCATTTTCGCCGACTTCGTCCCTCACCTGCTCTTCACCAAGAAACCCCTCGAGTTTCTTGTCACGACCGTGGTCGAGTGGTCGGTGACAGGTGGGAGTCAGCCTCACCTGAGCTCCATCGTGGATAACCTGTGAAGGCCAGAGGCGTCTCCTCTCTCCCTCCACATTAAGCGTGGATCTCTGAGTTCCTAATTACCTCTTAGGTGTTTCTTGTACAGGTCAAAGTTTTGGAACTGTTGGTCTAAACAAAAGGCTATCATGTCTCAAGTGAGGAGAGTATTATTAAGCAGGAAAGTGCATTCACAGGGCCTCACCCATGGGTAGGACTGTGTCTGAATCTTTGAGGGAGGCCCAGAGGAATGGAAAGGACGTCTGGTAGAGATTGTGTAGAGTGAAGAGACAGCATAACACAAAAAGGGTGACCAGGGGTGGGACTAGGAGGTGAGGCCAAGATGGAGCACCTGAGGAACTGACACTGACTTAGGGACTATACTTTTGGGGATTGCAACACAGCTTCTTGTCACCAGAGCTCCCTTGGGATTATACATTTGGACTATTCATACAGAAACATTGTATGACAGGACTGGAGCAGAGAGACCAGTTCAAAAGGAACAGCTGAATACGCAATTTTCTGATCAGCACTTTGGCCAACTGAACAGACTTACCAGGAGGAGCCCGCGTGGGTCACTGATAGCTCTTATCTCCTCTTGAAAATAAATTAAATGATTAATTTAAATGGCTTTCTGGCCCACAGGCATCCCTGGCATTGGTTCAGGTCAGGATTTTAAATCCCTGACCCTGACAATCTGAATCCTCAGTGGGCTTGATTTTTATGTTCATAAAATTATAGTCAAAAAGTCATAGTTAAACTAGGAGCAGCCAGAACGGGTACCCTAGGGAGTATGTCTTTTCTTCCCTACTATCTGCTCTGCTGTAAATAGACATCTTTTCTTATAAGATATTCTAGAACCTTCTAATCAAAAGTCAGCGCAACACAAGCATTTGGCCGCTCAGTGTAGGCAAGCTGGCTGACGCTGGGCCAAGCAGGACTATAACGAAAGAGATGTTTTATTTTGGGGAGTGATTAGGAATCTGGAGAATGTATAGAATCCAGAAGAGACATTTAAAAAAATGTCAAGCCAACAAAAACTCTCTTGGTTTTGTAAAATTCAGATTGCAGCCTGTTTAGACATCACAGATGCTATCCTCACCTTGACAAGTGCAGACAGAGACGGTTCATGCAGAAATGCGGCTATCTCTTCAGCAGGTAGGACCACGGAGAGCTTTCCACCTAAACCAAGCAGAGAAGAGGCAGGTGTGAGGACAGGAGGAGGCCTGGACTGAGAACACTCTCAGGCTTTCATTCCTTAACACCTTTTCTATGGGCAGGAGCCCGCTAGGGTAGGGGCTAAGCACTGGGCCACTGCCCAAACCTCAGCAGTTTGAACCCACAGTTAGTCTGATGAGGAACTCTGCATGTGTGAAGGTTCACACCCTCCGAACCCGAGAGATGGAGGAATCCCACTTTGTCCTGCAGAGCTGCCATGACACAGCATTAACTGTGCCGCAGTGGGTGGGGTTCCATATGAATTTATCCCAATGGAGAAATTTAAAAAAATTGCTGTTGAAAACAGACACAGCAAACCACCCACTAATGACCCAGTTTATATCTATGTACACTGTTTCGTGTCATGGATGATAGTGTTCCTTGTGCAATCTCACTCCCCTTTTCTGAGTCGTTCCTCCTTCACTGACATAAACTCACTGCCCCCTAAGTTTTCCAATTAATCTTTCAAGTTTCTGTTAAAGATTTGATCTCATACAGATAGTTCTTCAAAACAGCTGAGAGACTTCTTCTGAAAGCAAGCTAGCTCCTTTTAAAAAATGTCTCTTTCAGAGACTATTTCTTCTAAGTTGGGACTATGAAATACAGAAAACTAGTAGGAGCCTTCTTGGGAGAAAGAAATCAGGCACGCCCAGCACCAGCAGCAGCACCAGAGGCAGACAGGGATCTCACAGGCCTGGCCTTGGAGGCGGCTGGACTGTAGTCCTAACTCACTGGACAAGCACCAGTGGGGCCACACTGCACTCTGAGGGAGCTCCGGGGTGCAGTTCATGGGGAATTGTGCTGCTAATCTCCCTGAGTGTTCAAATCCACCAGGTGCCCCACAGGAGAGAGACAGGTGATCTACTCCCTTTTCAGTCTTTTATCTAGGAAACCTGATGCAGGGTGTCTGTGTCAGGGCCAGGGTGTCCATGAGCCAGGACCAGGGTGTCCATGAATCAGGATAGGTGTGATTTCTCCCCCTGCCCCCACCTAGGAAGGAGCCCTGCTCACATGAGGGGCCACCTTTTGGGCTGCTAACTCCAAGATTAGAGAAAGATGGGCAGTGTTCTGTAAAGATTTACAGCCTCAGAAACCCAGTGGAGGGTCAACACGAGTCAGAGTCACCTTGACCAGAGTGAATTTTTGCTTTGGGTATATTGAGGAGAACAGGAAGTACAAATACGTGCAGCTGGAACCTGCTTCCTTTGACTTTTCAGCACAGACAGCGGCGGTTCTCAAGCTTGTGCAGGTTAGAACCATCTGTAGTGCTGATGAAAATCAGTTCTCAGCTCCCGCCTTCAAGGGATGGGTTTTAGCAGACTTGGGGCTGCACATTTATTCAGTTATTATTTATGCACATTTTTATTCAGATGCGGTGGAGTTGGGGTTCTGCACATCAGCCTCTCTGAGGTGCATAAATCTTTGTTCAGAATTGGATCTCTTGAGAACTGAGTTTAGGGCCGAGTGCATGGGAAGTGCTCAGAACTCTGATTTGGAAATACTAAATAAAACCAGAATATAAGTCTAAAACTTTAAGACTGTATGGCCGAGACCTTGTGCTCATCCACAGCCTATTAGAGGAAGAAGAAACCTCTAGCAGGTGAAACTGCCTGGAACAACAGCTGCTAACCACAGAGAGCTTGTTTAGATAACCATGATGGAACTTTGAAATCTTCCAAGCAGGGAATGTCACCCAGAAACATTTAGTTCCCGTGCTGATAAGATAGAGCTGTTTTCCTGGCTATTCACTGATAGTGAAGGTGGGTCTTAATCACTTTCACAGGTTTCAGCAGAGACAGGGATTCTAAGTATGTCTTTAAATTGAACATGTAAGTAACTTGGAACAGGTGTACAGGATTCTTATTCAGCCTTACTTTAATGCAAGAAAACGTCTGCAAACGTTTCTATGATGCATGGTTTGGATGGGTGAAAGAAATAAATGCTCAGACATTATGAATCAAACCCCTAACAATCTGGAATAGGACATGCATTACAAACTAATGGGGGATAAATCTGTATAAATGAGTGAATGAAAAAAAATCAATTTATTTGTAAACCTTTATACAAATCACAATAAAGGAAAAAAAGAAAAGCTGTGTGTGCAGCAAGTAAAGGTAATTATGATGAAGATTTATTGTGAGCAGGGGGCTCTAGTGGCCTAGTGGGTAAGGAGTTGCTCTGCCAACCCAAAGGCAGGTGGTTCAAATACACTGGCTGCTTTATTGGATAAAGGTGAGCAATATGCTCCCATGGAATTTACAGTCTCTAAAACCCACTGGAGGGTCAGCTATGGATTGGTTCTGACTCAAAGGCACACAACAACAGCAGCAAAACCCTGTGGAATCCATGAGTTGGGTCCAACTTGATGGCAATGAGTTTTTTGACAAACTATTCAATCATTTCATAACTCAATGCTATCAAGTCCGTCCTGACTCCCCGTGGTCCCCCATCAGATCTCCAAGGCTGTAAATCACAGTGGGAGGAGACTGTCCAATTCCTTGCCACGGAGCCACTGGTGGACTGGACCCACTGAAGACACAGGGCTCTTGAGTCAGTAGCACAACTCAACTCTCCATGGACGACACCCCAGAGCGGCCTGATGGTTCAGAGACGGCAAATATACATCGCATTCAAGGAGCATGAATTGTCTGTAATTTGGATCCCGAACTGCCTTATTCAGCCCCACACCGTTATCACACACTGGAACTTACTTAATGTGCTTGACACAAATGGGCTCAACAACATAAAATGTACAATATGGTATCATCTCCCACCAATGAAACATGAGGACAATTCATTGCTATCTAAGCACAGTTAATCCACAAAATCATTTCTAGTGGATTCTGTGAGTTGTTTTTATCACAAGAGCGAACACCTGTACCTGGAGTTTCAGAAATTCTCCTATTACACAAAGCAACCAACTTCCCCCATTCAATTTCCGATTTGAGCATTAACTATGCTTCGCGAAGTAACACAAAACACAGACTACTCAGAACAAGCATCTCACTCCAGATTAGTCATCCATATTTCCTATGGGAACAAAAGAGAAGCAATGTTTTGGTTTAAGATGATCTGCTCTCTCTACAGAACTCAAAACCAGTATTTGCTGTGAATTAAGAATCAGCTGTGCGTGGGCAGGGGGAGGGAGGAAAGTGTGCAACAATGAATGAATGGAAATCCAAGTTTTCTGTAAACTTTCATTAAAATATCAATAATGATAATAAAAAGTTAAAAAATAATCAGCTGTGTTCCGCTTGTGCAGAAGAATCACTGCCCCGTGTCATGGAAGTCCCTGGCCCTCACAGGCACTTCCGAGTCGTTGAGCTCAGAAGTCAATGCTCATCCCACAGGCCCCACACTGGGGTCTGCTCATCTTTCTGTTCAAAGAACTCTGTTCCTCTAAAAGCCATTTGTTGTGGGTTTATTTGTATTTTTGCAATTTAAGTGCTGGAATTCTCACTCCTATATTTGTGCATGTAATTCTGCTTGGAAACAGTTTTCTTTTTTATATTAGTTTGATAATCAAGTAGGATGGATTCTATATCTCATCATTTCTGAGTTATAAAAAGCATAGAATATATACTTAGATGTCATGTGAAGATTGTCTACAAATCAAGGAACCAAGCAAGGGATCAAGAAAGGCCCACTGCTCTCTGTGAGGAAAGAATCACCCTGTCAAAATTGTGATGTGGATTTTTGGCTCCTAGAATCATGAGAGAATGAATACCTGTTCCTTAAAGCCAATCATGCAATATTTCTGTTCTAGAAACACTAAGAAACTAAGACATTATTGTTTACAACAAAATAGCTCCCTTCACTTTTGCCTTCATGCTTCAAGAAAAGTAATTTCCTCTTGAACGATCCAATGTCAAATGGGAAATATCATCGCCTCAGGCCAGAGTTGAAAGCGATGTAGGGAGGTGAAGGCTGTGGTATTGTGACCCTGGAGTGTGTCTCAGTGTTGGTCAAATGGAAGGGGCTCTGGGCAATTCTTACATCAGTGCGTCACCTGCCCCCTCTGCACCTCATCCCCTCCAGCTCCTTGACAAGAGCCCTCTTCCTTCTTCTGTATCCTCCCCAAAGGCAACACACTGAATGCATCACTACAAGGTTTATAACAACTGACATGAAAAGATGAGAAAATAACTTGTAAAAAGTGTTTTTTAGTGGTAGCATAACTTCCCATGCTTAAGTGTGGGCCACACATAGTAATTTTCACACAGAGGGGAGAAAAGGGGGAAAGTAACTTTATAGTGGAGTAAGCTGACAAACACCCCCTCGGCGAGGTGACTCTGGACACACCAGCAGCCATAAAGCATGGTGACAGTGCACAGTCTTGATACGGTGCCATGACAACAGCACTTCACCTCTGTGATCTTCCTGCCCAACCCATAACCCTGTCTGCACCCCCAAACTAGTCACGATAAGAAGATCTGCGAAGTCTCAGTAGAGGCACATCTTATCAAATAGCTGGCTGCAAGAGACCAATTGTGGCATAAGATCATTAATAGAAACAGCTAAGGACACATCCTGGACAAAGGGCAACCAGGGAGCTCCATGGCAAAGGCGGAGAAGCTTCTTCCTCTCACTTACTCTGGGCATGCTGTCAGGAGGGGACAATCCGTGGAAAAGGACATCATGCTAAGAAAGGGTCAGCAAAAGAGAGGAAGACCCTCAACAAGATGGACTGACACAGTGACTGTAACAAAAGGCTTAGAGTGTCAGAGACAATGGGGATGGCACGGGGTAGGACGAGTTCCAGATCTGCTGTTCATTGGATCGTACTGGACATGACAGCACCAGGACGGCAACAGCAATGAAAGGGGGGGTCGTTCTACACAGAACTAACCTTGGAGGATTCACAGGGCTAAGAAGGGAGGAAGAGGGGAGCAAAAATGAATAAATAAACTCAGGTGTGCACACACCACGCCCTCAAACCACACAGACCTCTGACCAGTACTACT